CCGAAGGAATCGCACTTAACGGCGGTAAAACGGATTATGAAATATCTTGCCGGCACGGTAAACGTTGGACTGTGGTATCCAAAAGGCTCTTCTTGTCATCTCGTTGGTTATTCCGACTCGGACTTTGCCGGTTGCAAATTAGACCGTAAAAGTACGAGTGGGACTTGCCACTTACTTGGTAGCTCTCTAGTCTCATGGTTTAGTAAAAAGCAAGTCAGTGTTGCGTTATCCACAACCGAAGCGGAATATGTAGCCGTCGGTAGTTGTTGTGCTCAAATTCTTTGGATGAAGCAACAACTCGTGGACTATGGCCTTAGTATCAATCACGTCCCTCTTCGTTGTGATAATACTAGCGTCATAAGCTTGACTAAGAACCCCGTTCTTCACTCAAGGACGAAACACATTGACATTAGGCATTATTTCATTAGAGATCATGTTCTCAAAGGTGATGTCGAAATTGAGTTTGTTGAAACACAGAACCAATTAGCCGACATTTTCACAAAACCTTTAGAGAAAGAGTCGTTCTTCCGCATTCGAAGTGAACTCGGAATCCTTGACTCCACGATGATCTAAGTTATGCATCTAAACTTATTGAACGCTTACTAACTTGAGCGTCGGAGAACTTTTTTCTTTTTTTGCAGGTACCCCGTTCATGAAATCAGGGGGAACCATGCAAACAACGCTGTCCAGGAGACCAAACAGCGCTGTTGAGAGAAACACCGTCAACCAGTTTGTGCCAACAGTGCTGTACAACACGCCAACAGCGCTGTCCCTGGGAGTCCCTTACTCTTCACTTTCCAGAAACTTTTTGAACATCGCTGTTCCAACCTAAAACATTGCTGTCCACCCAAAACACCTTGTTTTCAACCAAAACCAGAAACTTTTTAAACAGCGATGTCCCACTTTCAACATCGATGTCCACTTTTACAAATTTTTTTCTATCGTAAAACAGCGATGTAGAGAAACCCAACAGCGCTGTTCTAATGGGTTCAACCCCTTACACAATTCCAGAATGATTTGGAACATCGCTGTAGGGAACCCAACATCGCTGTCCTTTTAACACTTGTTTTTAAAACTTGACGCATAACAGCGTTGTCCAGAGGCTCAACAGTGCTGTCCCAACAGCGATGTAGGCTTTGGAACATCGCTGTTCTGGATAAATTTTTCAAAAAAATATCCGTTGGCACCAGCATTAATTGATCCAACAGCCATACTTTTGAAAATCTGGACGTTGGAGACCTCTTTCTCTATAAATTAGGACCTCCTCTCTTCACTTTTACACACACAAACACAATTCTCTTCAACATCTTTGCTTATTTCATCATCCCTACTCTTTTCTCTTGAGTTTTCTTATCATGAGCAAGGATAAGAGCAGGGCTGCCACCTCCGGGAAATCAAAGTCCAAATCCCGGGCGCCTACGACATCCATCGAGGAACGCCTCTACTATGGTGACGGGTCATACCTTTGGTTTGATTCCGAGGAGGAACGCACCCGTTTCCTCACTTTTTTCTCTAAACGGGTTGTGGCTCCTCCACGTATCATCCCGGAGCGCTACCCGGAGCTGCAGAGCTATGACGACCTCGACGCGCAGCTTCATCAGGCCGGCCTTTGGCCCTTCGTCTCCCAGGCTCGGAAGGAGATCAACCCGGCGCTGATTCGGGTCTTCTACTCCAACCTCCGGCGTGAGGGCGACGTGCTCTATTCTCTTGTCAAGAGCACGCCGATAGAACTTTCAATTGAGCAGCTTGGGCGCATCGCCGGCCTCCCCTACCAAGGCGACGACGTCGCCCTATATGGCGGAGAGGACTGGGTGCTCAACAACGAGGGCCTTATCCTCAACGAGCTTGGCATCACCGAGCTCATCCGCCATGCCTCGGGCCGCCCCACCATCCACTCCACTAACCCCGAAGGCCGTCTTCTTCTCTACATCGTCTCCCGGATCATCAAACCCAGGAAGCACGGCCACACCATCATGTCCGGTGAAGATCTCAAGCTCATCCATGCGATCATGCACTCGGCCCCAATCAATTGGGCAAAGTTTGTCATGATCAACATGACGATTGCTGCGTCCACCGACCACGATCACCTCCTCCCGTACCCGTTCGTGGTGATGGACATCCTTGAATGGTTCAAGGTGACCACCACCGTTGGCCCACTCACAAAGGCCACAAAGATTTGGGCGATCATCACCCAAACCTTCAAGAAGCGGTCGGACAACGCCGGACCTGCCACTGCCGTGCCACGGCCCTGTTCTGCGGCTGGCCCAGCCAAACCCCAGACCCGGGCCAACCTTGCCTCCATTGCTGACTCTCTCAACCGGCTGCACTTCAAAGTTCATGGGATGGATGGCTACCTTGAAAGACTTGACGAGGCAGTCCAACGTCAAGGGTACGCCATGAACGCATACTTCCAACGCGTTAACTACGTCCCCCCACCGTACAATGGCACGTTCTTTGGGCAGGTGTACGGTGACGAGGACGAAGACGATGCCTCCTACGATCCGTCAAGCTCCCCGGACGAGGACGAGTTCGACGACGCCGTTGATGGTGATGAGATGGATGTCGACGACGACGAGGAGGAAACCGAAGACGAAGACTAGGACGCCCCTAGAATTTCTATCTCTTTTATTTTAATTGTCCTGTTTTTTTTAATGCTTCCGTTGTACTCCGCTATTTCCCTTTTTTTCAATAAATAAAAGTTATCCTCTATCTTTTTGTTAATGTCAAAAGGGGGAAGAAAAGGGTTATGCATATACTAAGGGGGAACGTCCCTAAAAACGGGATCATTTGATTTTAATATGACAATTCCTTTTTTAAGCACAAATTAAGGGGGAACTTTTTCACTCTTTTCAAAGTCAAATATACCTTAGTATGCATATTCCCGTCTTGTTTCCCATTATCAAAAAGGGGGAAATTGTTGGAACACGGGTTTACGCCTATGTCGTACTAAGACGTGCTCGTTTTATGACAGGTTTTGATAATGCCAAACCGCCGTGACAATAACAAGGTTAAACTGAGCAAAACCAAGGCGAAGGAACATGGCATGATGAACTAAGAACCAAGAACCAAGAATCAAGAACGAAGACTTAAAATTATATTGAGTCGGTTTTAATGTGATCAAGACCGGCACAAACATTCAAAACATGGCTCTCTAGGCTCATTTCATCAAAATATTTTTTGCATATTCAAAATGATTTTCTTAAGTCATAAACCTGCCTGAAAACACTTGGAGTTCGCCGAAACCAAAAACCAAGCCATCCGGCGTTCGGTTTTCAGAAATCGGCGTTCGGCTCTCGGTTTTCGGCATTGGTTTTTGGCGTCCCAACCTACCAAATGGTTTTCAACTTTTTATGACTGGTTTTTACTTCTGGGCATATTTAAATAGTTCTCCAACAAAAACGCCTCAAAAACCACTTTCCATTTTTGGTCGTTTAGTGAAAACAATGCGAAACGGCACGAACTTGGTTAGTCGTGGTTTTCAACTAAATGACGTGGTTTTTAAGATGTTTTACTTGATTTCTTAGCAAAATGCAATAAACAAATGTTTTCAATACTTGGTTTTTACTTTGGAGAACTTGTGTTTTTGACATCGGCTAACGGCGTGACTAAACCAACCATGGGCCTGGCTAAACCAGCCCAATAGCGATGTTGAGGCAACCAACAGCGCTGTCTGGCTTGGGTAGCTAAAAACATGGTTTGGCGTTAAGTCCTCCAACAGCGATGTTGGACATTAGACATCGCTGTTGAGCCAAGGTTGGATTTCCAGAATCTTCTGGAACAGCGAAGATGGTCAAGAACCACCGAGAATGAAGAATAATATAAGTTTTAGAGAGAGAGAAAGAGCAAAGTAGGAGTTTATTCGCTTCTAACTTGGATCCATTACAATGAGGGGTCTCACCCCTTTTATAGGGGATACAATACACATAGTCAAAGTTTCTCTGATCGAGGTTCGTCGCCTAGCAGATGTCATCCCTGTTATGCGTTGTCCCTTTCATCCCGTCGCTGTCGCGCAGTCAACGTGGTCGGTCGCTATCCGGCAGTCGCTATCACGGTCCCCAGCCGAGCCCGCTACCCGACCCGAGCCCATAGGGCGAGCCGAGTTCATGGGCCGAGCAGAGAAGATCCTCCACGTGGCTGATGGGTACCGGATGACGTGTCTTTTGGGGCCGTCCTCCATCACAAGCCCCCCACTCTCCGGGTTTCGTTGCAGTCAGCGATGGGACACGAGAGAGTATGGGCACTGTAGGAGAGCGGCGCGGGGTCCACGTGGAGCAGTTGGCAGGTCATTGGTGCCGTTTGGGCTTCACCATCATGAAGGGGTGCGTCGTTTCGTCTCCCTAGGCCAAGTGGCGGTCCATCATTGCACCCATTCAACCTTTCCTCTATAAATACCCACCCTACTCATCTCATTCCCCACTTTTAGAGAGAGAGAGTAAGATTCTTTGCCGTCGCTAGTCTTCCCGCTGCCATCCTCGTCCGTTCTCCGGCCTTGTACTAGTTTGTCCTCTTCGGCCTTGCTCTTCTATGTCTTCCCAATCCTCAGTCTTTCGTCGGTCCGCGTCCGAACGCGGCGACGAGGGTTCCGTCACAGGCTCTGCCCAGGAAAGCAACTCCCGCTCGGCCTCCGTTGAGGAGATAGTCGAGGCGGTTGAGATCCCTCTTCAGTCCGAGCCTCGCAACCAGAGGCGCACTGCCCTGGAGGACTCGGGGATCCGAGCGCGGAAGTGAACCCTCACGGCTCAGGAATTCCGCAAGGCGAAGCGCCTGGCCTCGGCGCCGGGTGTGACCGTGCGTCGTCCCACCCCCGAGCAGTCACTCTTTGATGCTCCTTCGGGTTTCTTCGCTGTCCACCTCAAATCCCTCGAGTACGGGTTTCGTTTCCCCCTCCATCAGTTGGTCATAGATTTTTTCCAACATTTTGATCTTATCCGTTGCCAAGTCGTGCCCAAATCCCATCGTTACTTGGCCGGGTTCCTCGTCCGTTGCCAAGGGACCGGGGTTCGCCCCAATCTGGCTCGCTTCCTGTTGCTCTTCCGGTTGGCGAAGTCATCTGGTCGGGCCAACTCTGACTCGGGTTCGTACGCCTCTATCTTCCAGAGGCAGGAGAGGCTTTTCAAGACGAGGAAGGACTCCGCCAAGAGTTGGAAGGGGAAGTTCATCTTCGTTTCTCTCTCCTCGGGCTCCCCTTTTCGTAAAGAGACCCTTAGTTCCTTTCGACGCCGCTCCGCGTGTGTCACCTCGGACAAGATGCTCGAAGACGTAGAGACGCTCTGCCAAGGGGGGCCCTTCGAAGTCGGCTCGGTGGTGACGAATGAGGCGCTAGCGGCACTCGGCTTCGTCTTCCTATCCCCGGAGGATACCCAGAGGAGCATCGAAGAAGGCCCCTCAGGTCAGTGCACTCTTACGCTCGACCATCCGTGCGTCGCCACTTCCGGATTCCCGCTCCTTCTCGCAGTTGTCCTTCCCTCACCACTTGTCTTCTTTGGTTTTGTGCAGGTGAAATCATGCTTTCCAGCGCCGAGCGGATGAAGCTCATGTTCCCGGACGCTCCGAGCGGCAACTCCCAGGCTCCTCCCTCGGGCGGCCGTCCCCCGACTCCCCCCGTGAAGCCGACACCCGAGACGACACAGAAGAAGAAGAGGAAGGAAACGGCCTCGGCCGCCGACGCTTTGCAGGGGTCGGAGTCCCCCATGATGAAGGACTTCGGCCATCCCAAATATGTCAAGGCGGCCTTCCCCGCTCGGGTCTCCTTCCTAGACAGGGATTACGACCCGGAGACCTTCCTGCGCAGCTTTACTCCTCCAACCAATCGTGCCAAGCTAAAAGATATCGACCGGGAGACTCTGGCCTCAGATACCTTCCATGAGCTGGGTTCGGTAAGTTTCCCTTATTACACCTTACAAATATAATTCATCTGTGGTGCTCAACCCTTGGTTATTTGCAGGCGATGATGCGCATGGTCGACATGAGTCAGCTGCTGCGCGCCAGTGAGGACGACAGGAGTAGGGCTTATGTTGAGATAGGCGACCTCAATGAGGCCTTGAAGGCGGCCAAGGAACAAGCTCGCCAGGCCGAGGAGCGGGCTCAGCAACTCGCAGAGGAGGTTGCTCGCAAGGCGCACCAGGAGGCTCGCGATCAAGCCGTTGCCGAGTTCCTAGCATCGGATGCATTTCAGGAGGAAGCCTTCACTCGCATGAATGATTTGCTCAAGGCATGGGGGCAGACTCTTGAGGGCAAGGCATTCGCCCGCTCCGAAGGAACGTCGTGGTACAACCTCGGTCTGTTCCGAGCGCAGCAAGTCCTCTCGGATAGGTTCCTTGCCGGGGAGGACTTCCCCGAGCCATGCGACAATCCTGATGAGCTCGACACTTCCATCTACTACCCGAATGGCGGGAACTCAGCCGGCGAGCAGCCGACTGCCGAGTGAAATGACTTGAAACTTTGTTGTATTTGATGTACTGCTGCTCAAGACTTTGTTTTTTTTTTTTGAATTCGGATATGTTATGACTCAATGATTCGTACGGATGTGCTATGCCTCTCTTTTGTGTTTAATCTTACTGCCCTCGTCGTTTCTTTGAACTTGCGAGCTCACTCCTTCCCCCGCCCAACCTGAGCTCGGCTGTGCCGAACAGAGGATACCTCGGGGCTTGGTCCCTTTTGTCTCCTCGTTAACCGAGACAACCTTGGGACCTGGGACCTTTTGACCTGTCGTCAGTACGACCATCCCCGTGCTGCCACGTGTACCTTCCCTCTATGGCAACATGCCTATATAAGGGGGGGGGGGG